TGTCAGATGACCTAAATCTGTTACATTAATGATAGTCACTAAACTGAACTAATTTAACTACATGCTTATTTTCCCATTTGCTTAATTATTTGATTCCCACATGCTGTGGCTTTTAAAAAAAAACTTAGATTGTTGTTGAGTCAAGGGAAGCTGCACAGGCCTCAGCAAGCGGCAGTTTGACAGAACGTCAGAACGATCTAGAGAGTTGGCGTCAAGCGTGTGTGGCATGAATGGCAAGTTGTGCGGTGGGTGTTCGGGTAAGCGGGGCGCTCTCGTGCTGTGTGGAGTGACCGAGCAGATGGGCTGGAGAGCTGGCGGTTGGTGCCAGACGCAGTGAGGGCAGAGGGGTTTAGTGAGATACTCATCGCCATGTTGGAGGGCCACCTGCTTTTTGGCAGCACGTCAGTCCCTTGATGCTCAAATGTGTTTATAGCTGCCGCAAGGTCAATGTCTATGTGTGCGTTCCTTTTAAAAATGGATTAGGTACCAAAAGGAAGTTGGAGATGTGATGGTAGATATTAGGGCTGGGTATTGAGACAAATTTCACAATTTGATTCGATTTCGATTCACAAGCTTGCAATTCGATTCAATTTCGATTACGATTCAATTCGATTCAATATCAATTATTTTGGATATCAGTTGCAATAAATGGCAATTTTTCTCAAGGGAATCAAATCTCTTAAATGCTGTAAACTATGGGAGTCTAGTTGTAGCGTACTAGGCTTCATTAGCCTAATATGAAGGTAATTATGAACTGTTTTGTAGCTTGGCACACAAACACTTAAATTACACTTTTATTTATTTTATAATAAGAAGATTATATGAAATATAAACATTTAAATGGTGGCTGTCATAAAAACTTGCCAGATTTATTCAAATATGCATTAAATATTGAAGAACACTAACGAGTGTGGACTAACGAGTTATGTGGGTTTTCTGAGGTAAATATGACGATACATGACATTTATTACAAACTGTTTAATTGACGTCTTTCCACGGTTGAAACGCTGATTGAGCGAATCAATGTGACATGATACAGATTTCGATAAGTTGTACTCTATCTTTTAACACACTTTCAGATGCTCATTCATGTTTATTTCGCACTGTAACTGGTATTATTAACCCGGAAGAGAGATCAGCGCTGCTGTTTCTCTTGAGCTGCGCCAGAGCGATCTCACGCCACAGCGCCAAAACGCTATTTATGTTTTTGAATTTCTAAAGAAAATGGACGTAATTTGAAAATTGAGACTTTGTTTCATATCAATACTGCCCTACAAAGCATATATATATTTAACCAAGCAGCAAATGTTTCAAACTATCTTTCAAAATTGCTCAAATTAACATGATTTAACTGATATTGATTGTTAAAAAATTCTTACTGCCGGTTAACGGTTAACTAGTTATTTATGTTATATTTATATTTTATATATGTTATATAATTTTTTATTCTGTAACATTGGGTATTTAATGGTTTATGCTCATTTTCCAATTTTTACCTTTAGATTTGTCATTTTTTATGCTCATTTAAAGTTTATATTTTAAAACACTAATACTCGAATTACATTACAACATATATGTATATACAAATGTTTTTTTGTACAAGATCACGAAGTGCAAAACCAACAGTTTGTGATCATTTCATTGACAAATTTTTGGTGTTGTTTTTTCGAATTCTTCCACCAAATATCTTTTCTCAAATGTGCTCCGAGATCTTTGGTATCTTGGGTGTTTTGTGAGCTGCTCTGCCCTGCTAGTGTGCACTGAGCATACGCCTTGGCTTGAGCTCTGGAAACTTACAGCAAACCCTTTTGTGTTTCTGTCAGGAGCCCAGACATTTTTTTGCACTGACTGTTTCTTCAGAAACTTGGGGACCATGCAAGCCTTAGAGACAAAGAGGGAAAAATAAAGAGCAATGAATGAGGCTTAGAGACAGAAAAGGACGCTTTAAGATATGCCAGGGAGAGGAGGTGTGGCAGAGTTTAGATTCCCTCTGAGCCAAACTCCAGTAGTAACTGGTAACTGTGCATCATTGTAAAGGAATGTCTGTGAAGAGATTACCTTTTTTTCAGTTTTGCACTATAAAAAGAGTCTTTTATCAGATACCTTTTTGTAATTAAACTTAGGGTGCAAAGTTCACCCTAGATTTGCTGCTATTTAGTGTTTGCAACTTTAGCTATTTGCAGTTTTTTTTTTTGTTATTTTGGAGTGACAGTGACAGTCAGATATGGACAGTGGCATTTAAGAAACAATCTTAGAAAAAAAGATGTATTTTATAAAATGAGAGCTAAAGTAAATGTGAGTGGTGCTGCTTTCTGTCCTTAGCCAGACAAAAAAGTCAGTTTACTTAGAAAAGTAGTAACGTCTCTGCATGTTAAACAAGTGACATACTTTATATGCAACATTATAACAATACATTGTAATAAGTAATGGATAATCCACGGCTAGCTGTGCATTGAACGTTTTTAAAGGGATACTCCACTTTTTTTGGAAAAAAGCTCATTTTACAACTCCCACAGAGTTAAACAGTTGAGTTTTACCGTTTTCGAATCCATAACATTTTTTGATATTCCGATTTTCTGATATTTCGAAGAATATCAGTAACCAGACAGGTTCTGGTCTCATTGACTACCATAGTATATTTTTTTCCTACTATGGAAGTCAATGAGACCAGAAACTGTCTGGTTACTGATATTTTTCTAAATAAAAATAATGGTTATTTTTGTCAGGTACGGTTTGCTAGATCATTGTGTCAGCTTTAAGATTTTTAAAGTAGTGAAGTAGTGCACAAGATTTGTTTCAATGAATGAATTATAGCATTTATTTGAGTTCATTATCGAGAGAGAGAGAGATGCGTGTGTAAATTACCTGCATCTGTTCAGTGTCTTTCTCTATTACAACAAAGCTGTGAGTTTATTTACCTCAAAACCAGCAATGTTACCCCCTTGTTGCTGAGAAATATAATGTAGCGAAAGTAGCGTAGTAAAATATGAAGTCGTGGGGCAGAGTTGATACGTTTCTGATCTCATGAATGTTTTTGTGTGTGCATACTAGTGCAGTCTCTGAGCATCTGTTCGCTTCAATGAAAACATTGCATTAATATAGAACGGTGATGATTAAATTGATTTGGAACTTCCTATTCATGAAATTATTTTGAAGCACACTTTCCAGCCAATCAGAATTGAGTTTTCAGACAGACTGTGGTATAGCAAAATTTACCTACATGAGTCGTGCATCAATGAATCAATGAGTTTTAAATCAAGAGCGATAAGACACCATAGACAAAACAATAACAATAGACAAAACATTAACAAATAAGACACCATAGATAAAAGCTTGTCGTGTTTACCACTTTTAACTTAAGCTGCTTTTGAAATCACACCCCATCAGCCGCAGAAAGTGCCGGTTACTCAAGACTCATCGTTTCCAGCCAAGTCATTTGACATAATAACTACAATTGCCATCATGAGAGAATTGGCCTCTCTGCAGCACCGCCGCTATATTTGGCTCATTTTTTTTATTTTACAGGCAGAAAAAGATTGCTCAATTTGTATAGCTATTTCCGTGCAAATGTTCGTAACCTTTTCGCTGGCACTCTTGTACTTTGAGCCTTTTGAGTTCATGGCTCTTTCGCGCTTTGCTGACGACTGTAATTGCTCTTCTTTCTGCAGCATCTCCAGGCGACTCGTCGATATTGTTGCGTGAAGCTGACAATTATGAATGAAGAAAAAAATAGATCTCATTGTCTTGCCTTTCATGTGTCAGAAGATGAAAAACTGCTCTCAGATCAGCCTGTGGCTGCTGGTGACAGATTCTCAAACACAAGATGTCTGGCATTAAAAGCGCTCCGACTCGTCTTTGAAGAGCACTGTGGTCGCTACCTCTAGAACTCCCATCACTTTTATCCCGCTCGATGTGGCTTAGCAATGTCTCAAGGGCAACAGGGCACTTTCTGTCTTCAAAGACAAGTGTCTCTTATTTGAAGAATGACATAACATAACAGTGACTGGGAGAGGATGGCTGTATTTGCTGTTGGCAGTCAGATACACTGTTTATGGACAGTTATGATTTACTTACAGTTGGCTGTTATGAAGAGAATTGCATCGTGATATAATGTGACTAATTTGTTATTTAAAGGGGTCATATCAAAATTTCTTTGTTTTCTAAAAAGTTCACTGTGCTACGAAGTCTGCAGATTTTTTAAAAATGTAGACAGATAAATATTAGTACAGATATATTTGATTAAAAGACTTTACCTTCAAAAATGTGTTTATAACCACAAAGTAAAAATAACATTTTCCATATAGCTCTAATACATATGAGTTCACACATGCATTAGTCATTAGTTCATTAGTTTCAAAATAAATAACTTGTAATAAATAATAAATATTTTCAAAATATATAGTTTCCCCCTAAATATTAAAAAGTATTGATTTGTAAATGTATAGTTTGTATAATATTCGTAGAGATCTTCACTGTGACTCTCTATACTCATGTATATTTTGGAAAATATATTTTAATAAACAATAGAGATTGATTAAACTAAACATAAAAAATAAATTACACTAAACTATATTTGCTTATATTTTAAATCGTTTAATGAGGCTTTTTTCCGTTATAATAATACATTTCATTATAATATCAGGACAGTTGTATCAGTCTGACATTTAAGACTTGCCTCCCAAAAATATCAAAATGAAGTTTAATACAGAGATGAAAATAGAAGAGGTGTATTCAAGTTATTGTATATGAATTGTATTCTTAATGTATTTTTCAGTTCATCTTTAGCACAGAAACACAAGAATCATTACTGTCATTTTCTGTAAATTTTGCAATTGGGTGGAGACACTAAAAAAAACAATGTTACGCAAATCTTTTGTGACGTTTAAGCATTGGCACATGTGTAAGGGGTTTTTGGCTCTCTTTATTACTATTTTTGTCTGTTTGTTGGTATTTCAAGTTAATTATGTCTCTAATTCACTCTGTTTATGTTGTGTTTGCAGAGTGAAGATTTTCCCTGATGAAAGGAATCGAGCGTTCAGCTCGAGTTCACTAGGGTCACTTCCTGATGATGACAGTAAACATGGGTAAGCTTCTCTCTCTCTCTCCCCTCTCTTTCTCTCTCTCGCTCTCTCCTGGTCTTCTTCCCCTTCATAGCGTACACACTTCCTGTAAACAGTTCCCCTGAGCATAGCAAAAAAAAAAAATTTTTTTTTTTAAAAAGAGAGAGAGATGCAGCTACAGAAACATGGCCCGTCTTGGGGTATTTTGTTTCTAAAGCTCTGTTTTGTTAAAATGCCTCAGCAGTTCTCACAGGCATTAAACATCAAAATATCAACATCAAAAGAATATTTCTACATAAATTGCCTGTTTTTGTTTTTAAATGCTAGAGCATTGCACCAAAAAAAGGTAAAAATGGCAACATCTGCTGTAACCATTGTATTAAAATTATTACAGATTTCCTTTTGCGTTTACTTATTTGTAATATTATGGTAAAGGAAGTTAAGCAACATGATTTATACCTTTTAAAAATTGTGCTTTTAATATTATGTCTGATATATTAAAAAAAAAAAAAAATATTAGACCACTCTGCAAAGTCAAAGCCATGGTAGAAATCGACAGGGTTATACTGACCTGAAAAGGACATCATCATAGGTGATTATGTCACTTAGTTCTGCATAATTTACTCTGAAACATGCCAGATCACTTTTTAATAAATGACACATTATGAGAACAAAGAGAAGGAACAAATATATCCTGAGGAAATGTTGCATTATTATTGTTGTTGTTGACTGTGGTGTCATTTAATCTTGGGGATTACATTCAGACATGAAGTTTATCAGTGAGGATGGGTGTTTTCAATGCCACTCTTTGAATAATACAGTTCAAGACAACTGATTACATGCTTGTCATTGCAAATTGCATTTGATGACAACTTGAACAACCTATAAACACATCCTATAAACACATCTTTGTGATTATAAATGTAATACCAGATGACATACCAAATATCATCTCAGATTGTCACTGTGCAACTCTTGATTTTGTGCCTGTTTTGACAGATGGCGGTCTCCAAAATGGACCTGGACAGCACAAGAACTCACAAGGTTTGTCATATTTTTAGGCTAATTTTAGATTAACTAATATGTACTACTGAAATCTGAGACTTCTGATCAGTGAGAAGTGTGCAGTGTTCTTACCACAATAATGAGATGGTACAGTTAGCACATGAGAAAGCAATCACGGACACACCCCCGACACTGTTACATCATCAGCATTATTCTCTCGTTGAACTTTAACGCTTCAGTAGGGCACACTGGTACGAGTCTTACTAGATCACATATTACTTCAAAATGAAAAGTGAAAAATTAAGATTTTTATTTGCACAAAGAAAATAAAGCCTGTTTTTAGGATTTTTTTGCATTGTACATTTCACCCTTAATGATATTTTCATTATCATTGCCATAATGCAGAAAAATTATTTATATTATTTAAATATCACTGTTGTTATGTTGTATTTATGCATATTAAAATAAAAATATTTACTGTGATTTTTATTACAGTAATAAGAATCATAATTGAATATAAAGAGAATTACAGACAAACATAAACCTGAAACATCTTGACAAATTGTGGTGAGAATGGAGTGATTTTTCTTCATATCCATGAAAATAATATCACAATTAAAGACAAATATCCCTAAAAATGTAAGCTTAATTTTCTTTATACAAATAATTTTTGGGGGCGCAACATGACCAGACATGTTCTTCACCAACTTCTGAGGTTTTGTTTCATTGCATTTGTACAAAACAGGCCCAGACACATGGGGATATACTATAGTAGAAATGGAGGACCGCATGTTGCTCTAATTTTGCTGAAGGCTTTAGAGGTGACGTGTTTTGTAGCTCTGGGGAAATCCCCTCTATGTCTTCATTTACTCAAACTCTGATCTCATCAGTGGCTTCTTCCAGCTCGTCCTGCCAGTACAAGTGCACAATCGCAAAACAGATTCACCATGTCAAAGACAGATAAAGAAACATGAGTTCAGATGAAATTTATATTTCCTGTTGGAGGTGTAGTGCTTCATGTTTGTGTTCATTGTTCATAAGTTTCGCTATAAATAAATGTCTGGTTTTAGCATCTGTGGTTTTTGTCTACCAAATGTGTGTGTACATCAGTGTTTATGGCAGGGTGGCTATTGTTGTATCAAATGCTGTATGTTTAGATAGATGCGGTTTTCTCTCACTTCTGGCCTTGAATCCCCTTTCTCTGGCTTACTTCAAAAACTTTTTGCGTTTAGTTTTGCATCCTTTATCTTCTTGACATGATCAACTGTCTGTCAAGTGAAGTGCGATTAGAGGAAGGTAATGGAAACATTGTCAAACTTGGATTTCCACCAGACTGTCATAGTGTTATCAGAGTAAATCATCTTATCTTCACATCAGTATGAGGTGATAGAGTGAGGGCGATCCTCTTACAATAGCATCATTCTCATTGGAGATTCGCTTAACCATGTGTACAGATGTTATAAAAGCTTAAAACGCTAAGTTTTTGTGCTTCTTTTTTTTTACTAAAGTCAATTAGATTCTATTCAATCTAGTAAAGATTTTGTTCAATTAATTTACATTGTAGTCACTTACATTTTATTCAAAACCATTTGATTGCACAAGATTCTGTTCAGTTTAGTAAAGATTATGTTTGATTCCTTTAAATTCTAGTCAATTAAATTAATATTCAATTCAGTTTAGTAAAACTTCTGTTCAGTTCATTTATGTTCAATCAGATTCAATTCAGTTTTAGTAAAGATTCTGCTCTATTCTGTTACATTTTATTCAAGTAGTTTCTGTTCTGTTTTTATATACTGTTTAATTAACCCAAAAATGAAAATTCTGTCATAATGACTCAACCTCATGTCACATCCGTTCATCTTCAGAACACAGTTTAAGATATTATTTAGTCCGAGTCTTCTGTCTATCCATTGAAAATCTATGTACGGTATACTGTCCTTGTCAGAAAGGAAATAACGACATCATCAAAGTAGTCCATGTGACATCAGTCGGTAAGTTAGAATTTTTTGAATTTTTTTGGGAAAAATTTCAGCATTGTATTTTCTTCTGGTTCTGTTGTCAATCCGCGTTCACAAGTCCGTAGTGTCGTTGCTGACGTACCAGATATGGATGAATGGATTGTGGGTGTTTTGTTTATAAGTGTTGTGTTTTGCTCTGAAATATTGCATGCATAAGTGGCACAAGCATTTAGTGAACCCCCCTCACTGTTTCAAGATCAATAGCTTCTGAAAAAGGAATTTTTCTGAGGTTGTTTTGCAGACGATGACTCCCTACACTATGGCAAATCTGACAATATTAAAATAGAAATGAGGTCAGATGGAGAAAGAAAGTGTGAGTGTTGTGAACCCTTTGTGAACCCTTTCTAATGGTGGATGCCACTGTGGAAGAACAGCTGCGGAGTGAGACTTACGCTGGTGTCAGAATCAAAGATCACCCCAGACTCCATCTGCCTCAGCAGTGTCGCCGCTGTCTCGCCCAGCACTCCACTGCCCCACAATGCCTTTCTGCGTCCCCTGGGATGCGATAAAACCCTTTCAAATGCACCACTGCCGTTTGCTGCACATAACCCACCCTTCTGGGTTCAGCACCAGCCAGTATTAATGTTGTTAGCTTGTTTAATGGAAGAGTTTGACCAGAAATATAAAATCGCCATATAATTGCAGAATAAAATTACAGAATGTTTACAGAAAGTTCTGTTGTTCAGTAAAAATACATTTCTCCAATATTACAAAAAAAGGACCATTAAAGTATTTTAAAGCATCTGTTTCTCACTCAATTATCACATTAGTTCAAAACTAGAGCGCACAAGTCATATGGACTACTTTTATGATATTTCGTAAGTGCTTTAAGTCATTTTTACAGCATGATGGCCCCATTATCTAAAGCAGCCTGGACATTCTGCTAAATATCTTCTTTGATCTTCATTTTTTGTATAAACTAAAGTTGACATGAAAGACAAAATGGGCAAATTTGTACCTTTAGAGGTAAAATAGCTTCTCACTGGCGCAGTACCATTTAAGTACAATTAAATGGCACAATTGGCGCAGTACAATTTTATATGTGCACATTACTATTTAAATTATTGAAAACATGACAGTGCAACTAACAATGAATGCGTTTTTTTCAGTTTATCGAAAAGGATGAACTTACACAAACAATGGTACATTCATTCATAAATTCTGTTTCACCGTAAGTCATCCTTTGTCAATTATATTATAATTATGGTAACTCCAAGTACTTACTTATTTTAATATGCCAAACTGTTACCCAATCATAGCAGTGGGCATTTACTTGCAAATCTTGAATGCCCATCAAGACAGTGTTTGAACTTGATGTCTGTCGAGTAAAACAGGTGCAGGTAAAACCAAAGAAACTGAGGCACATACTCATCATCATATTGTAGGATGGATCCAATCAGACTTCCCAAGTTTAAACCGACTCAGAAATGACTTCATTTAAGATCTGTGGATAAATAGAGCAAATAAATTGGCACATAGGCACCTGAGATTAACAAGAGCTCTCGTCTCTGTTTCACTATCTCCTCCCCATGATAGCAAAGGTGAATGACCTTCCACTCAGACTGTAATTACAAGACTCGCTTAATTGGCCCCATTAGGGCCTCTTGATATGTTAATGCATGACACGCTCATTTGCATGATTGCTCCCATTTCACTTTTAACGATGGCTGAGTTTGTGGTGTATTTTAATGGTTCACAGGCTGCTGCTAGTGTTCGTATTCTTGTGTTTTTCTTGCACAGAGGTTGCCGCAGTCATTCTTCATGTGGTCCAGTTATAAATTCAAGACACACGTGAGACACTCCGATATGTTCTCTGCAAAAGCCTTCCTGTGTTCATTGATAAAGGAATTGAAGCTTTTATCTGATGTATTGTAATAAAAGTTTCCAATTAATTGTGGGGGGAAAGAAAGACTATTAGTTTTCGCTTTGTAAAGGGCATGTTAAAACAAAACCATATTGTGTTCTGAATTTCTTGGTTGATTCAGCTCTTAGCTTTTTTTCTTAGTTGAATGGCTCTTTGAAGCTCAGACTTGCAGTAATGCTTATCTTGTTTAGTTTATGTTGCATCATTAAAATTCTTTCTCTCACCAAAGCTGTGCTTGTCATGCCCAGGGTTTAATGCATCGGAGCAGAACAAGCCCATCAATGGGACCAAACCTTTAATGCTAATATAATGTGATCTCTTGTGTCTGACCACGTGCCCGTCCCTGTATTCTCTCTCTCTCTTTCTCTCTGTGGCCGGTTGGTTTACATCAATGGGCCACACTAGAGAAAAAGGAGCACATCAGTGCTGTTATGGAAATATGTCAGGGGTGTGTCGGCAGCTATGGAAAAAAAAACCTGATAGAAGCTCAAAAGGAAATAGAATTAGGGCTTTTCATACTGCACTTAACCCCAGGTTATCATCGTTCTAAAATCCGCTTTCAACCCTGGGTTAAGGAACGTTTCACACTTCTAATTTAGAAGCGAGGTTAGCACCGGGGTTTTCTTATCTAGGGTTGTGAAACCCTCCCCCAGAATGTGGTTAGTACCAGCTTTGTTCTGTTAACACTGCATTGCGATGCTAAATATGTACTTTGTTAAATTATGATAGAATGTTACGGCTAGATGGTCAGCAACTGACAAACAATCGTGCGCCTCATTTACATTCTTTGGACAGTCATGTAAACAGCACATTGCTTAAATGGTAGTTTCAGCGTACAAGGAGAAATATGTCAAAAAATGACAAAAATACTTACAAAGTCCAAAACTTCCTTTCAGGAAAAAAAAAAACTTTGATAGCAGTCGGCAGTATATAATATGACGATGGACAATGCTAGAGTCTTTAAAGGGTAACTAAACCCCTGGTCAGAGCCTAACTCCACCCACTGGCAATATTTGAAAAATACCCCAGCGGAGATAGAGGGGACGAAGTAAATGCTAATACACTCTATCCTGATCTTTTTCAATACAATTCCAACTCCTGACTCGCTAGTGGTTTTGACGAATCAAGCTGGTTTTTATACTGCCGCTCGTACCAAGAGCGTGGTGAGCTGAAACCTGCGTACGTCACGAAGTGCGGAACATCAATAGCAGTAGCCACTGTTCAACCTGAAGAGGGCAGCACTAAGACGTTTTTACACCATATATTGTAGAAATAAAACACTATACACAAATGTCAGAAAAGTTACTTGAATCAATGACTGGTATTAATAAAGATCCATTCTTGCAGATCATTAACTAAAAAAATTTGGTTTAGGGTTTAGCTACTCTTTAAATAAACTGGTCACATGCTGCGTTCAATCAATCAATGACATTGACACCACAAATATGCAAATAAGAACATTAACCCAGGGTTTACATATGTACAATGTGAGAATTGCTAACCCTTGGTAAATTATGAGCCATGTGAAATGTGAAGCTATAGATGAATCAGGATTCTGTTTACATGGGGGTTAAGGCTGACGTCAAAGATCTAGCAGTGATGAAAAGTTGACTGTGTTGTCGCCTCTCGTCGGCTGCGTCTTGACCAAAAGGTTTCACTTGAACACACCAAGAATTAAAGGCTACTGTCAACTATGTGTGTTTGCGCATGCGTGTAAGTAAATATCTGTCTATATCAGCAGGTATCAATAGTCTATTTTCATCATTCAAAAAGTGGAAAAAACTAGGTCTGCAGATATATAATCATTAAAAAGCGGCACTTGCTTACCATTTTGAATATCAACCACGCTGATCACTTTCTTCATTCCATTCGGCTCATGTTATTATAAAAATAGTAAGAGGACGTCAAAAACAGCCTTCTTGACATAACCGCTGTCTTTGCCGTCTTGACTTCTTTACTCACATTCATTACTTTTGTTTTTATTCTCGTGCTCTGACTTATTCGCCAAGCTGAACAACCTGATCAGACTTCTCTGATTCAACATGCTGTTAATCAGTCCAAATGACCCCAGTGGCATTCGACATGAGCCAACTGTGTGAAACACACCAAAAAAACTAATCTGAAACTTGGTGTGTCACAACCTTTAGAATGACCTTGGGTCAACTGTTTCAAGTGTGAAAAGCCCTAATATGTACCACACAGTAAGTGGAGTGCTGCGACAGTTTGTGAACATCGAGTGTCTTTCTGCTGCTTTGAATGAAATTGTGGTATTCAAATGAGAGATACATGTATGAATAGGAAAGTGATCCAAACATAACCATTCTATTTTAGTAGTTTAAAGGGATGGTTCACCCAAAAATGAAAATTTTGTCAGTATTTAATCACCCTCATGTTGATCCAACCCCGTAAGACCTTCGTTCATCTTCAGAACACAAATTAAGATATTTTTGATGAAATCTGAGAGCTGGATCACTCCTCCATACTAGTCCATAGACTTCTTGAGGAATTGAAACTTGCCGGCCTTGAAAAGTTATTGAATACATGGTTAAAATAGTCCAAGTGACTACAGTGGCTCAATCTTAAGTTTATCAAGCGACAAGAATACTTTTTGTGTGCAAAAAAATCATAAATAACGACTTTATAACAATGTACAACAACAGATCATACGCGGTTAAACTAGTAACCTGACTCGAGGCCCAAAGAGAAGGAAATGAATAGTTGAAATGAAGTCAGTATTTTTTTGCGCACAAAAAGTATTCTCGTCGTTTGATAAACTTAAGATTGAGCCACTGAAATCACTTAAACTATTTTCACGATGTCTTTAATAACTTTTCAAGGCTGGCAAGTTTCAATCCCTCAAGAAGCCTATGGACTAGTATGGAGGAGTGATCCAGCTCTCAGATTTCATCAAAAATATCTTAATTCATAAATAAAATGAACGAAGTTCTTACGGGGTTGGAAAAACATGAGGGTGAGTAATTACTGACAGAATTTTCATTTTTGGGTGAACTATCCCTTTAAAACTCGAGAAGCTTGAGAAGATTGTGTGCACATGGTGCTTAAGAAGTTGGTGGAATATGGTGTAAAAATAGATTTTCTAATCTTTTGGATCGTATGTGAATCTGTTCAAACAACAGTTTATTTAAATCATATTTAGTGCTGTTTTGTAAATATTAATTGATTTCAACAAACTGAAACCCTAAAAATTAAACCTTAATGTGTAACTTAATGTGAAAATTGAAGCTGTCTACAGGACGCTACAGAGTGACCATTGCAAATCCATTCTCTGTGTCAGAAGTACAGAAGTAGCATGAGCACTTGAAGAGTGTCAGAAATAGAACGGGGCTTCAGTGTAGACAGCACCACTGATTATAATGGGTTCTGTTTGCTTTTGTCATGTCACATCATGCCACTTGCATCTGGTTTAGACAGTGTTAGAGACCCACAATAACACACCGGCAACCACCCACAACACCCTCCAGATTTGTGGCAGGGAGTTTTAAATAGCACTCACATTTATAAATATGTATATGATACAATGTCTAGGTCTGGTTTGGTGATGCTGCTAAACAAAAAATAAATGGAAAAAGTGAACATTTTGGTTCAAGTTTTATTATCATCTGGACAGTCATCCAGTTGCTTCATTCGTTATTGAAGATCCACTCACAGCCTAGCTTTAACTTGTCTTTGTTTGTTCCAGATGATGAAGAGGCACTCACCTCCATAATGAAGGACCTGGCAGCTTTACGGTTCTGTTACCAAATCAAGAGTAACAGCAGCAGCAACAAGCCCAAGAGCAGAACCCCATCCTACAGACAGGTAATTTCCCACAATGCATCACTCAGAAGAAGAAAGGAATGTGCAAAAGCTGTGTTTTCAAAAGCAACTAGTCCGATGGTTGTTTGAATGATTTATTTTGTTAAATATGATTGTTAATAAGCTGCAAAGCTGAATAAATAAATATTATATTAATTTAATACTTTTTATTTTAATATTATAATATATTAATTTATTCAATATTCTATATTTTCTATACAGTATATATAAAATATATATTTTTTTAATTTTAAAATAATGAAACGCAAAGCCAACTAAATAAATAAAATGAAAAAAAGTAAAAATAATTTTAATGTACTATAAATGTGACATTATTTTATTCATATTACTTGTTGTTTAGTTTTGTTTCATTTATTTTATAATCATGAACTACAAAGCAGAGATTCAGAAAAAAACAACGTAAATCTTTTCAATAGCACTTCTACTACATTGTTCTCTAGACTTAAGGTACATGCAACCTTCAACCTGACCTGATTTGACTTCAACCTGACCCAACGAGAGCTGCATTGTAAGATACAGCCTTAAACAGGATACAGCTGAGAGAGGCACTACTGTTAACATTTAACATCCGGTCCCTGGGTACTATACAGCCTAGAACTACCAGTATCCTTGTAGTTCTCATTCATTGCCTAAATTCTCTCTACAATGCTGTCGCTTGAAACCGGACACCAGTCAATCCTCAAGATAAATGGCTGGCATGCACTCTCTACACGCACATACACCCTTTTGGTTTCTATCTAACTCACTCTTGGTTGTTCTTTCTCATACATTTTTAACCGCTCATCTTTTCGCTCATACACGCAAAAATGCCAGAAGCAACTTTCCCAACTAACCAAACGTCATTATAGTTACACAACAACCATCCCCCCCAAAAAAAACCAACTCACGAGGAGTTGACCGTTTAAAGCACATCCATAATGAAGATGCACGAGAAGCACAAGATTAGTTCTTATTACAGCGTCTCTTGCTGCATTCAGGATGGATATGACATCACAGTGTCAAGAGTATCGGTGTAAACAGTATACAGATTGTTCATTATCTTCAGCAATGAAAGGTGCTGTGTCGTCTCAGGGGAGTAGTTATGCTTCAACCAAACAGTGAAATTCAGTGCAGTGTTGATTTCAGAACAGTATAGGGGAGACAAGGGGAAGGTTTTTTTTTCTTCTTCTTTTTTTTTTTTTACGATGACAAAAAAGTTTGAGCAGGTATAAATCATTATAAATCACTTTTCTGAACTTGGTTGTAAATTTTCAATCATGCTGTATTTGTCTCTGTCAGTAAAGTATTGTAATGACTTATTAAGCACTTTTTATTTTATTTTCTCTCTTGTAATATGAAAAAGTTACATTTAATTATTCTAGGGGATTACAATGGTAGCCTCTCGTTCCTTTCCTCACTTTCATTTCCCTTCAGGTCTGTTTTTTTTTTTGGGATGCTCTAGCATAATTTTTCCATTCTTAGTTGCATCCTTTAATTTTGGGAATGTTCCTGAAATAAATACTGTACAATTGACAAGGTACCTGATCTTTATCAGTCCTGATGGAAAGTATTTTGAATAATATGTAAATATTTGTATTCTTTTATTCAACTGCTGACCTAAAATTGTGACACTTATTTAACATATTCAGCATTAAATGACTGTTTGTGTTAAACTGCCCTATGTTCTTCCAGGTTCTGCACTTTCTTTGGTCTCCTGCATATATTAACTTTTTCCCAACAGTATGATTTATATGTATTTTTCTTATTTTATTTGAAGATTCCCAATATGACAAAGATCAACATTATCTGGCTTTTAATGCATAACTTATGAGCAGAGCTGTATTGTATTACATTCAACATTTTGATTTAGTCTTGCTCAGTATCCACCTTATTTTGGTTGTTATGCTACTTGATATTGAAAACTGGTATTTCTTGCCATATTATTATAATTTATTGTCTTAATTATAAACACACTGCTTTGTAGTGCAAACACTGCACTTTGTGTCCCTATATCGGCAAATAATTTGGAAGTCTTGCACATACGCATAAAACAGCTTACCTCTGCATTGAAAAATAAGGTGGATAAGTCTACATGTTTTTCTTCATTCTCTCTGCCCTGGGTCTAAGATCATAAATGCGTTGTGAAAAATATTTTATAATTGCGTATAAAAGGTTTCATTCTGACCACCCACTCAAAAGGAGAACCCTCATCCTGTTAGATTCTTTACATGCCACACATGCTTTCATATCCAGTCCTGCAACTGCAGTTCAGGTGATAAACTAGAGATTTCACAGGATTGATGATAGACACACAGACAGAGACAATACATAAGAGTATCTCAGGAGAACACTGGGACATAGTATTTGTAATATTTATGCAAAGTCACATCTTGTTCTTCTTGAATGCAAAGTGGACTCAGACTCAGACATGCATTTGTAGTTAGTAGGCCAAGACTGGATGCGAGAATATTTTTCATGTATTATATGCCTAGTTTGTTGTTTTTTGTTAAATGTTATAACGTGCAAGAACGTACAGATTATTTTTCAATATTTCTATTAATAGTTTGTTCTTCATTTTTGTTCTTGGTTCAATACAGTAAATGCATTTTGCATTATTTTTATTTAAAATAATATAATATAATTTTTCTTTTTCTTTTTTTTGGTTGATGCAAAAAATATTCTGTTTTGTTCTGGAGAGGGAAAAAAACTTCAGGCAAGATTAAGAAAAATATTTTTTTTTTATTCCATTTACAAGTCTATTTGTAGTTTTGGGGTGTTTTTGAGTGTCCACTTTTGGCCCTTGGTCTTTATAAATCCAGTACACTACGTGTCCTGTGATGTTTCTGAATGGTCTTTTCTTATTTACTGTATGACTGATTTTACTTTTAGTTTGCTTTTAGTTCATTTGTGCATTTAATCCACAGGATCAATTCATTTCATTTTGTTGTTTTCTTCTCTCAGGATTTACGGGTGAAGCTGGAGCATGAGCGAGAGAAACGGTGAGTCGGAACGTTCTCATTATTTCTGCAGCTCTCTGTCCTTTCCCTGATCTCATTCCTCTCGTCTTATCCCAGCTCTCGCTATGCCATTTCTAAGATCTCACTGCACGGGGAAGAACGGAAAATATGGCAAGCTGCCCAAAAGAACCAGAACGTTCCTATAAAAGTATTTTGACATTTAGACGCAGCGTTTCACACACACTCTCTCTCTGGTACAGACGGAGGCAGAGGAAAGAAGAGGTGAAGCCAAGTGTTTGAGCTCAATGGCACACCCAATATTAATTTTCAATGTCCTGTAGGTCATTCATACACCCACACACAGAACATGTCATTTTTCCCTTCTCAAGACTGCCAAATGCCAACACGTTAGTCTTTGCAAAGTATATCCATATGTGCTTTTAGCAGCATTTTACGTGTCTGCATATGGTTCACGTGTCTATTGTGTTGACAAAGCTTTGTTTACTGCAAGAAAGTGAATTAACATTCTTGTCATCCTGTACCGCAAAGCCCTGTTGCATCCTGGGAGAATTCAAACTTTAGTCTTAAAGCTCCCCAGAGTACCCCGTCGACCGTCTGTGTGAAAATGCCTCAGTGGGTTGTGTCACAGGAAGTCGGTGCGGCGTCACTTGCTGCATTGGAGGTGACAAGGAGTCGGTGTGTTGCTTCACAGCTCTAATTGGCTGCTGTGGCACAACATCTTCTGTTCTGCCTCGACTTTATGCAAAGACGTACGAGGAGGAGGTGATGGACCACTAGAAGATAAATCAATGGAAGTAATAGGGTAGCTATAGACCCCTTTTGTGCCGACGCCACGGCGCTAGCTGGAGGCAAAACAAAATGAAAACTGGAGGCGGCCAATATAAACCAGCACAGATTCGGCTACATAATAAGGAGCTTAAATTATTGCTACTATTATTAAATGTCATCTTGTTGTGTTGTTTGGTGCAAGAATTGATGAAAAATGAATATGCTGTACCTGTGATTTTTATTTCTAGAAAATATTCACATCATTCAAATCGCACCATTACATTGTCGTCGTCTCGGCGCTGGGTCGGCAGAACAGCGGATCATACACACAAGTCTTGTACAGGACCATATAATTATAGGCATCTAAGGATTTATATGCCCTCAGTTTCTCTTTACGATCGGTTTCTCTATAAGGTAGGTGTAGAAGTCAGGCCTCTCAACCGAGGTAACGTAACGTTAATCCTGTCAGATCATTCATGCATTGAGTGAGCGTGTAGGCGGCTACGGGTCGGCCAATCTGGTTTCGTCCGTTAAAAATAACTTTTGGAAATAACAATCGCTGTCCTGGACACTTGAGTGACCTTACACATTAAGATAAAATCGCATTTTCTCCAGTCATTGTTCAGACAAGCTAATGCTAACTAGCGTTAGTGAAGCGGCCAGAGAGATCGTTCTGCCTCCACCTAAGCTCCGCCCACAAAAAAAACGTCACAATGTTTACCAACTGAAAAGGGGTCTAGAGGATACGACGTCCCACCTTCAATCAGAATAGCCAGTCGGCTCTCCCACTGTTGATAGTTTTAAATCTTTACTAAAGACTTATTTCTTCTCTTTGGCGTTTGGTTAAATGTAATTTTATGATGCGCTTTTTGACGGGTTTATGTTGTGTTTGTGTTGGTTGGTGTATTTATGTATTTTATAATTTTATAATTGACTGTACAGCACTTTGGTCAGCAGTGGCTGTTTTAAACGTGCTTTATAAATAAAAATAAAAGTGCCTTGCCTTCTTGCTCTAGAACAAAAGTTTTGAATTCCAAGGACCCCCAAATATATCTTATGAAAGGAATCTTTCCTAAAATATAAAGGCGTTTATATATTTTTTGCTAACAAACTAATTTATACTGTATTAGAAAAATATTTGACTTCTGTTTGTCAGTTTTCTGTGTGAGAATAATTAAATTTGTATTAAGTTTATTGGATATCCTTTAAACACAGAATGCTAGACAGAATATTTAAACACTTTTTCACAATAAATATAATTCCAAACAGTCATACTTGTAACATAGCAAGAAGATACATTGGGATTGTTTTTTTTTTTTTTCCTATACAAAACTAAAAAAATTTTTATTGTTACTGTCAAATATGTTTATTTTTTCTCTAAACTTTTCCGTGGACCCCTAAGATCCTCTTGTTCCCTCGACTTGCCTTAAATGGACTTTGTTTTTAAGAAAGCTTATATCTTGGCATTTCCTTCTCTGGCTGTGTATATATCCCCAACTTCTTGCACATTATGTCTTCACTAAGAGCAACAATTTAAACGAGGAGAAATTTTGTATTAAAATCTGTCTATTTATTATGTTGCTTTGAGTAAACAATGATAACAGTGAATCTTATGAAACCAGCCCGGCCAGATGGTGAGACTTCCATCCAGTCTCATGAATATGCAATAGATCTTTTTTTTTTTTGTCACAGTCTAAAAAATTACACTCTGTAATGTTTTATATACATGCAAGTTCAAATATAAGGCGTTAAATACTACCATTACTACCATTCAAAATTTCTGGTCAGTTAGATAAAAAAAACATCTATTTTTCAAAATATATTCTGTTATTTTAAACTTTCTATTGATTGAAGAATCCTAAATAAAACCCATCATGTTTTCCATAAAATTATTAAGCTGTAAAACTGTTTTCCCGAGCACCAAATCACCATATTAGAATGATTCTGAAGAATCATGTGACACTGAAAACTGGAGAAATGACAAAAATCAGTTTTGCCATCACAGAAATAAATTACATTTTAAAAAAAAAAGTATTTTAAACTGCAATACTATTTCACAATAATACTTTATTTACAAACCCAAATTGTTTAACGGTATTGTATGAACAGCAAAATCTATTTGTCAACATAGGCAACATAGTAATATCATGGTGCTTTTTTTTGCCAGTTATTTCATTGTGTTACATCAGAAAGTCGTAAAACGTAACATGTATTAAACTTGTTTATGGATAACCCCATATCTCACAGCACACATCATAAATCTACACTCTTGTGCCTACTGTAATAAAAAACTCATCAAAACAGGCATTAGTTAGCAGACCAGAATAGTTGGACACACTCGAAACCGTCTTCCTCTGGCAGCGACAGCAATATACAGAGACAGGAAGGAGAAGAGCGCTGCGTGCCATGCCAAGCGTGGAGAGATGCGGCCAAAGCAAAGCGCTTATCTGTGCACGCCAAGGAAGGAAAATCATCTCGTACCCTACATCCTCCATTTCTCCAGTCTTCCGCTATGATTTTCTTCCATCACTATCTCCCTCATCGGCCAGTGTAAACAAAGCCATCACTCAAATCAAAACTCAACGAGCAGCCTCATCTACAGAAGATCTGACTGTTAAATCAGCTTGATTTCGCCCATGACGGACGTCCCCAGTTGTCTTCGTTCCGATAAACCCCTTGAGATGAGAACCAATCATCTCAATGCAAAAAAACACTAATTGTTTGAGTTAAAAATAACGGCTCTTTATAAGTATCGGATAAGAGCTGTGTGTATGTGTGTGCAGTTTGGCTGGTGTGCTAGACTTTGGAGGAGGAATGGGAAACATGCTTCCTGCTAGTTTCAGCGTTGCTCCACTTTTTTTCTCTTTCCTCTCAGGAAGCGCTCCATCTACCTTTGTGTGCGTTGTGATGTGGTCCTCGGTGTTGAAACAGTGGTCCGCTCCGGTTCATCATGCTTGCCTTGCATTAACATCATGCATATACTTAAGCCAATTTACACTCTCAGTTCCCTTTTCTCTCACCCTGACCCCACACATTGACTCCCACACTCTAAACATAGGCACACTCGTTAGACAAACAGAGACACCATTTTTGGTTTGTCCCATGCATGAATGCACCATACATGGCCGTAGAAGAAGCTATGGTATCGACCCCTAATGTTAGGAAATTCTCTGTAATTAGGAAGGTGCCATCATGCAAGTCCACAGCGACATGTTTACATAGGGATGGTGTAACTAAATGAAAGGAATGCCCATTGTATTCGAAATTTGCAGGTGCCTGAAAGTTGTTTTGATTTGATCAGAGTTTTTCTTCTCTTCCTTTAGGATCATTCCGTTCCAAAGGCCACTGAATTTCAAGGATCTGCTCCAGAAGGTGACGGAGGCCTTCGGCCAGCAGATGGATCTATATTTCACTGATAAAGAGGTATTTATTCTAGTAACTTATTTGTAACCTTTTCATAGTGATAGTTTTGTATAGATTAGATTAATTGGCTATTATTTAGCTTTTTTTTTTTTTTTGGAAATGTATGTATTACTGTAGCTAATAACAATGCCTGTTAAGGAATGGTAGATTTTCACTTCCAAAATTTGATAAGTTTGCAATGTATAATGCAGATAATTTTCTGTTTTTAAATGTTGTGCATTTTGTGAAAAATTGTAAAATATTTATTTTTTTATAATCATTTAAAAAAGGTATTTCTTATTATCATGCAATTTTATTATATAGAATTTGATGTGTTGATGAATTTATGAGGTATACTGAAGAAGAAATGTTTACTTCTACTGTCATTAAAGCAAAAGTGAGATGAAACAACAAAACTTAATTAAACTTCAAATTTAACTTTTCACTTAAATTGTTTTTCTGATCATGTAGACTATTGTTCAAAAGTTTGAGGTCAGTAAAAAAGAAAAGAAATTAATATTTATTTTCTGCTGGGATGCATTAAAGGATGCTAAGTGACGGTAAAGATATTTATAATATTAAAAAAAGATTTCTATTTCAAACAAATGCTGTTCTTTTGATCTTTCAGATCATGTGATGCATAAGACTAGTAATCACAATAATATATTACTTTTCACAAAATATATAAATAGAAAGAGTTTACAAATTACTGAAACAGAAACAATTCAAATTATTATAGTTTTTCACAGTATTATGTTTTTTTTATTGTGTTTTTGTGTAACTCTCTACCATCCACAAACAATTGAATGGTAGTTTAATAAAAAAAGGATCATGTTAAATTAGAAATGATTGCACATCTCAGACTTTTGCACCCCACTGAATATCAATTTTATACCTTTGTATACCTTTCTATACCTTTATACCTGACCTTTATCTCAAGATATAGGCTTGAAAATCCATATTCATTACCTCTTAGTTAACTCGTAATTGGACTAGCATTTATATTTTGCACTAAGGAGATGTACATTTCACTATACATTAACGTGTTGTTTTTAAACTATGTGTCTTGCTTTATTAATAATGTTGACTGATCTTAGACATTGGTGGCTCTGAAGTGTCAGGAAGATTTGGACCGAGCAGTTCAGGGATTGAGCTCCATCTCTGGTATCAACAACCTGCTGAGAGTGATTCTGAAAACACCTCCCAACAACCAAGTGAGTCCAAGCAGAGCGACCCAACCCAAAGCCAACATTAAAACAATACCTAAACCCACATGAAAAGCCTAACCTGTACATGAACTAGTTCTCAGACCACAAGCTCACTTCCACACATCCATATTATTATTCAGGGAAAATTAAGAATGCTACATTTGAAAAATAAATAAATAAATAAAATAAAAATAATAAATAAATAAAATATATATATATATATATTATCTTTAATTTGTACTAATTTTGCCGCTTTATTGGAAAACTATTTATTATGTAAACTCTTAAATCGCACATATTTTTCCAGATTTAGCAGAATTCCTTATATATGTCCATCTCCTCTCCACAGTTCCTTCATGTGAGCGGCCAAGACAGGCAGAGCGAGATGAGGTCATCCAGGTCCCTGGGAGATCTTAAAGCCTCGGTTCTCAAAGGCTCAGAACGAGTGCGCAAACACTCTACAGGTACGTCACGCCGGCTCACACACACCCCTAACACACAGCACGGTAAAAAAAAAAAGAGTACACAATGGGTTTATCATCAGCTTTGTTTGCACTTTTCTCCATCAGGACTAGGAAATGGCATCAAAGAGCACAGTGACGTCAGGGCTGTTAGTGAAAGCCTGGGCAAATCATTTTAGTTGTTTTGAATGGCAGAGGAACAGATTCAAAGCATCAGTTTGATACCACTTTCATGTGTGATTGCATTTACATAATATTTGGCCTATCAGAATCGGTTCATTCGCAATGTGTGTTCCAAATGAACGGTTGCTTGTTTACGTGTCAATCACGTACAATCGTTTTTCAGAGACATTCCATTTGTGGTATTAGTAATGTTTTTGCTGTGTAGACAGATACAGTTTTTGCTATCTCTCAGAAGGCAGGTGATATGGAACGACATTTAATTTAAATGTCACGATGCAGATGTATAAACCCACCTTTATCCCATCAATAAATTCAAATGTTTATAGTCAACTTTAAAGGGGTTATCAAAGATATACTGCCTTTTAAACGTCTGGGGTCGGTAAGATTTATTGATGTTATTGATAGACGTCTCTTGCTCACCAAGGCTGCATTCATTTGATAAAAAATACAGTATAAAGAGTAAAATTGTGAAGCCTTGTGATAGCAAAGATGAATTTCCAGCATCATTATTTCGGTCTACAGTGTCACATGATCCTTCAGAAATCTGATTTGGTGATCAAGAAACTTTCTTATTATTATCAATGTTTAACCATGATGCTTTTTTCAGTTTTCTTTGATGAACAGATTTTTTACTTACTGACCCCTAATATTTTAACAGTTGTGTATATGCTAGTTGTGGATATGTCTTTATACTTCAGTTTATTAATAGTGCTAGTCTACATGCAGTTTATGAAAGGCCGATGTTTCATCTTGTTAAATGCAAAAGCATTTAGGAAACTGATGACAGAACTTGTCATATTTAAGTAAGGACAATCAAGTGTGTCTCAAATTCGATTCAGGCTCTGTTAGGATCTGTATTTTGTAAAGTCATTTCATTGTCAGTCTCAGACCGTAGAGCGCTTGCTTAAAAGGCTAGTGGAACGAGTTTATAGTGTTTGAAAAGACAAGATAAGTTTTTCCTATTCATCGGGTAACATTCAGTAGATCTGATCAGATCGTTCACACATTATTCATAAGCTAATAAACAGTGAGAAGTTCACAACATGAACATTACGCAAACAAGAACGAGTGTCTTCCCCAAATAGAGCATAAAAAGAGTGAAATATTTCTCAGCAAAGAGAACTCAGTGACTCACTCTTTTTCTCACCATCTCACATTTTTTTCTATGGTTGGCACCATCTCTTTGCTTTCACACCTGAGAAAGAGGCGTGGGAAAGAAGATAGCTCGCTCCACGTGACATATTGAATGATGGAGATTGCAGGTTTTTGCTTGCTGAATGTCAAGGATGTGTTTTTACAGATTTCAATTTGTCAGAGTAGTCAGCATTTGTCATGATAATGGGGTGAATCAGTGAAGTGGAAATTCCTTTGCACTGCCCACATACATAGCATGTTTTGCATCACTTTTTAGCAGTTGGTCAATAAAAATAGCTTTTAAAGAGACTTTATCTTGAAAAAAACTGGATGGTGTTTTGACATACATCCCAACCTACTTAGCCCAACCTTATGAATGACTTCTACTAATCCTGTACATGTACTGTAGTTAGTCAAACAATTAATTCATGCACATAAGCCTTAAAGGGATAGTTCACCCAAAAATTTGAATTCTGTCATCATTTACTCACCCTCATGTTGTTCCAAACCTATAAGACTTTCGTTCATCTTCGAAACGCAAATGGAGATATTTTAATGTAATCTGAGAGCTTTCTGTACGTCAGAACGACCACTTTGACACTTGACACAATAGATTGAATTTTGGCTTTTATTCACATATAAACATTCATCAGCATACATAAACAGCTAATTGGTTATTGCGAAAGCTCAAACGTGCTGCCTAACACACGAGATTGAACCTCATTGGTTATGGCACGTCAAGTGAACATGGTTGAGCTACTGTTTACCTCAACATATGTGTGAGTTGATGAATGTTTATGTGAATAAAAGCCTTAATTCAATCTGTTCATCATATAAAGTGATTGTGTCTCTTCCGAAAATTTGGACTAAACCACTCAATTCATTTGTTTTATGATGAATATTTTAACTTGAAGCATTAAAGTGACTGTCAAAGGAGGGACCGAAAGCTCTCGGATTTTTATTAAAAATATTGTCCTTTTCATTTTGAAGATGAATAAATGTCTTACGTGTTTGGAACGACATGAGGGTGAGTAATTAATGCCAGAATTTTCACTACCCTTTAATAGTACAGTAACTAAAGGAGCCTGTTTTAATCAATGCCACAGAGATCGAGAAAAACAGGTGGGGTTTATCACATGAATGAATGTATATATATATAGGTGTCAGTCTCACATTCTTTTGACGCTTTCTTCCCCACCCATCCCTTCCTGTCACATACAGTACTCTTTTACTTTTGATTGCCTTTTTTCTCATGATTTATCCACCAATAGCACTGTCTCTTTCTCTGACATTCTGCTCACATGTACCTGTCACTCACACCACTCTTAAATCTCAGTCATTATTCACTTCAATTTGCTCAAATTCTTTCTATTTCTCTGGGATCCTGTGCCCTGTTATTAGTTGCCCTGGAAGAATTACTGTTCCAGACTGTTTTTTTGGCATCAGACTGGATGATGTGTCAAGCTAACATCACTCCGTCTGCCCGCAGGATCTCTGAACACGGGCCGCACCTCACCCCCTCCGGGCAGCGTACCAGAAGAGCAGCAGCAGATCGCTCGGCAAGGGTCCTACACCAGCATCCACAGTGAAGGAGAGTTCATCCCAGAAATGCTCGACTCCAATGTAAGATTCATGGTTTGGAGCTGCAGATTACAGCTGTGACTTAGTTACGCAAGGAATTTTCACAATATGTTTTCAAAAATACCATATTTTTAAACAGGCACTTTGAACACTTTTTAGCAATGATTTAGATTTTAAGCCTGGGTTATGAGTAGTATTAGCACCGATACTAATATTTATATGCTGCTGTGGTTCCCAAAATAGGGGTCAAAAAGGGGGTGTAGCAAGGCTGAAGGCACCCACACACTACAAGATAATATTTTCAGGACTATTTTGGGCCCAATTCTCCCTTTCTGACAGTCCTTGCTAAATTGCCGATTATCTTGATGGTTCTACAGATTATCTTGTGGTGTGAGGTGTGTTAAGACTGAGTGATTAAATCTTCTTGGTAGAACGTTTGGGCCTCACCGAACTCTAATTAGCCTTTCGCCGAGCCCCGCCCCCCTTAGTTACTGCTGCTACCTCCGTCAAACAAATGGTCAAACACGGGCAGCGCGACAGATTGCCATGACGGCAAAGGGTATTCCCGTGCGTGTCAGTGACCTTTTTTGGAGCAATACCTCCGCGATATCAAGCAAGATCGAAGCAAAAGGGGTTACGGTATGCGGTGGAGGGATTTATTCCAAATATAAAATTAAGAAATGAATGAGACACGACTACTATTGATGCTAATGCTTACCAGTCTCAAGAAAAATCAGAAAAACCCCATGACCATGCTAAGTTACCTCAAATGCAACCAGCACAGCCTTGAAGATTTTATAAACTGGTTCAGTGGCTAATTGTTTGGAGTTCGAAATATATAACTTGCGCTGCATATTTATTCATTTTGCCTCCGATACAGGAGTAACGTTAGCACGTTCGCTTTAACAAGCAGGTTGTTCATTAGGCTACCACAGCAACCGATTGCGTGTCATGCTCATGCTGAATGCGATTTTCGTGTTTAAAAAGTAACTAACGTTATGCATAAGAGACGGAAAGAGGCAGAGAACCATACGTTATTTAAGGTTATTTCTATTCGTTACGATATTGATATATGAACCGATGTTGTTATGTAAGCTTCATGCTTTCCCCGTTGCGAACGTCCTCTAAACTGTAGTCTACGGTGCTGCACTGCTAACTTAGCTGACTGCTGCTCGTTTTCCCAGATAATATCATGGTATGTTAACAACAACCCTTTAGAAAATGTACAGTAAGTCCTTTGTGGATCCTCTTGATCTGCTTTCTCCGTGCTTCTTTGACTAATCTCAGTCGCACGCACGCTGCACGCGAGACGAGTTAACCATGTTCGACACATTTAACTGGGATTGGGGTGTCCACACTGTTTAATACAACTTAGGCACCGCTCGCGTTGTGTTTTGGGCTTTGGAAAGGGAAAAACACAACTTCTCCAGACAATCTCTCGGGGTATTATGTGTCCGATTTACTAACGCCGTGGGCGCACCGCTTACTGTTTGACGGAACAGCTCACACAGTAACGGTTGCTATGATGTGTGATTGGACAATGGCCATTTTGTGGGAGGGGCCGGCGAAAGGTCAATTGTAAATATCCAACATGGTGAATATTCACGATCAGAAATCCTGTTGTGTGGCAGGAACCCTGCCTACACTGTAAAAATGAATATGCTTTATCTAATCAAAAAAAACTTGTGGCAACAGATTACAAGCAATATTATGAATTAAATTTAACAAATTAGAATTGAGTAATAATTAATCAAATTAATTCCTTAAAAGTTAACCATTTAAAATGAGTAAAACTTACAACAACCATAAAAACATAAATTTAAGTCGCCATTATGGTGATCAGTGTTTGTTTTAAAAATGATGGTTTTCTCCTTCAGTGATACTGCTTTTTAACATCAGGTGTCTTCAATTTGGCAATATAAAAAAAGAGTTCTTAATTAATCTTTGACGTCTGTCTGTCAGTGAAATTTTTTTGTTAATTTTTTTGGTGTAAACTTTACTCATTTTAAATGGTTAACTTTTAAGAAATGATTTGATTATTTATTACTCAATTCTAATTTGTTCAATTTAATTAATAATATATTTCTTGTAATCTGTTGCCACAATTCTATTAATTAGATAAAGCATATTCATTTTTACAGTGCGCACACACTGTAGATTGTCACATGTAACGAAACAATACCCAATCAGAAAGCGACCTGATGGAAGATGTAAGCAAAACAACCGCAGTCTTGTACCAGGTAACCACCTAGCAACATTTCCACCATTAGTTTGACGATAGATTTTTTTGTGTGTGTTAACAGTGTGTGTGTGTGTGTGTGTGAGAGAGAGGGGAAAATGAATAACTGTGATGATGTTCATGACGAATTTTATTTACTGTACCTCCATCTCTTTTCTTTTTTCCTGTGCATTTTCTATAAAAAGCAGTCCAAACACTATTTTTTTCGTTTCTTCTTGCCCATCATCCTCCATGTTTGCTTGCCGATAACTAATAAATGTGAAATCAGCCAGTACTGGTAGATTTTGGCAATTTGTTTAGTTACCGGCAGACAATTATACACCTCATACATAGACAAATAAGCATGGCAATCCAGAGTGTACAGATGTACTGTGTGACATTTCAAAACCTGAATTAAAGATAAACTGAATGAATCCCTGATGAATCCCAAATGACTGTTTGTTTTGAATGACCCTGATTGTTTCTTAATAAGGGTTAACAAACTGTGAAAAGTCTAATAAAAAGAAACATTGCTTAGTTTTCATGGTCTCTGATGTTCTTTCGCCCTGTACTTTGTTATCACTGTTCTCTGTAACTGTGCACTTTATAACTGTTTGGGGAAAAGAAAGCTTGGACATATTACGGGCATTTGCTCATGGAAAATCTTACGTCAGTCTTGTAGTAGGCTAAGGTTCAGATGCACAAATGGTAATGAAAAATGTAATGCAATGTAGTGATGTCATTTATTTTTTGTCTGTAGATGATGGAGCCATTCGGGAGTGCTAATGGGTCGCTTTCCAGCAGCTGTCAGTCACTGGACCAAGCACTGGACAGGTGGGCTTTATAAACTGTGTATTAGCGAAGTAAAAGACCACATACAAAACAAAAAAACAAAAACAAGGTAGGGTTGCACCAGCCATTCATAAGTTCTTAAACTGGAATGTAAAGTACAAGTAGTAATGTAATAGTACTTTTACGATTGCACCATTTGTTCTTAAGGCAGAACATAGCTAGTAGGACATAGACTCTTCGTAAAATACCGTAATGCGTCGTCGCCATAATATGACATTCTTTTTTATACAGTGGCTTGAGTAAATATTTAGTTTATTCATTTTATCCATAGAGTTATGTTTCAACTTTCAAGTTTAATGGTGCAATGCAAAAAAAAATTAGTATGTGCACAGTTGTAACTTAGTGCCCCTTTATGTGAAAACAACTTACGCACAGCTGGTGCAGCCGACCCCAATCCACTAATTGGTCTTAAAAAAGCCTTGAATAATTAGCCTGGTATTTATCATAAACAATTTATCATACAAGAGCCAGTAAGTTTTAAGACAGTTAGATGGTGCACAGTGGAACTAAACACATGGCACATGACACAAGATGCTGAAAACAGTGACTTCTGTCTGTGTGTATGGCTATAGTCGTGACAGGTTTATTATATATTTTTTGAATTTTTTGTTTTGAATTTAGATTTTATTTTTACTTTATTTCTTTATATTTTTATTTTTTAGACTGCAAAAGTTAGTGTAAACTGCTATTATTTAAATAGTGGGTTAGTTAGTTGACATGTAGTTGCAGAGTAGGCAATTTCGGAGCGGCTAGCATTAGCAAGCTAGCTATAAAAAAGCATGAGATTCTACCCTGTGTCGAACTATTGAAATAAAGTGTTACCAATAGCAGTTTTATTTTTTAATACTGTTTATCTGATAAAAAAATCAAAAAAACTAGGGCTGTGCAAAAAATAATTGCGATTAATCGCATCCAAAATAAAAGTCTGTGATTACATAAAATATTTGTGTGTGCTGTATATAATTATTTTGTATATATATAAAGACTTATGCATGCATGTATATATTTAAGAATTACTTAACCTTAAATTCTGTATATATATAATACATATATATATTATATAAATATAAATATTTTATATATGAATAACACATTTTTTTTAAAATATATACATGCATGTGTGTGTATTTATATATATATACAGCACACACAAATATATTATGTAAACGCAGACTTTTATTTTGGATGCGATAATCGCAATTAATTAATTTGCACAGCCCTAAAAAAAACCTTTTCGGTACCGTAATGAAAGCAGGTAATAAAATGTATACTATAAAATATTTATTTTAGTTTCTAATATTAAACTAAAAATTAAAATGAATTATTAGACTTTTTTTTATTTTATTTTAGTATCAGTTCTTCAGTATTTTAGTCACTAAGAACTAGTCAGTCTTGTTTAGCCTTATTGGGCACTGTTTTAAAGTCAGCAGAGCCACTTTCACGTTACTGATATATGTAATTTAGAATTGAGACTACTTGTAGTTAGTTGAAATCAAACCAAAAAAAAAAAAGTCTTTCTTATTGTTGTCTCTGCATATAAAATGAGATAATTACACACTTCACCTTAAAGAGTATATTATAATAATTACGGATAGACAAGATATCTGATAAATGAACCAACTGTCCAGAGAGGAAATGAAATCGGGTCACAACAAAGGCCAACCAGGAAGCCCTTGATGTCACCATGGCGACAACACGCTTATCTGGACGCCTGGATTCCAGTGCTATCTCTTGCCGCCTCTGCTCTGCTCAAAGAGAGAGAGAAAGATAGAGAGAGTGGGTTGATCTAGCCAATCTATTCTGCTTTCTGTTGCCTGTGCACTATTGTTATAAAAAGAGTCAGTCAATAATGCAGTGTGAAAAAAACACAGGGGAGAGAAAGAGTAAGAATGAAAGACAGGAAAGTGAAAAAGAGAGAGAGGAAAAGAGAAATGAAAACCATGCTACCTGCACGAGCCTTATCTGGCTTTTAGCCCTCAGAACAATGGCAGGAAACAAGTGCATGGAAATGTCTCCCCTCACTGCGGGTGTGTGTGTGCCCGTTATCCAGGGTCTTGCTGATCGCTCAGTACTGACGTCACCGTCGGACAGGGATAACAGGGTTAGGGCAGTAACATATGCACATTAACCCATGATGTTTTTATATTGCTGTTGCCTGCAAGAGTTCAAAAGGAGTTGTTTTTTTCTTGACTCCTATAGGGTGAGCAGAAAAACGAGGCTGTTTGCATCTTAAAGCAGACATGAAATGGACACCCTATAGTGACGAAATGATGAATAGATGAAATCTTGCAACAACATATAACATGCTTGAGCCTTTGTTTTGTGAATCAATGCCAGCTACAGCTTACATTGATTTAAAACGGAAAAAAACTGAATGTTGCCGTCTAACTACCCACAGCTGAGCAAGTGATTGAATGTAGTCATTTGTTTGCCTGAAAATATGATTAAGGCCATTTATCCCATCTGTTTTCTGTATAAAAAACATTACCAAGAACTTGAGAACACAAACATATACTTGTTTATGCTTTTATGCTATGCAAATGCAATTGAGCTAAATGACAAAATATTAAAGTAAAAGGCATTATAAAACATTACAAATATTTATAAGTGAAATAGTTTTATTTTTTAAGTCCGTAGCTTTTTTGGGGTTAAAAATGAACCAAAATACATATTTGAGAAAATTCATAACGAGACAGTGTTAAACTATCTGCTTGCCTTAGCTCGATTCAAAGCGGTAAGCTTGTAATAAAGTTTTTAATTCCAGTGGTACTGGTGGATTTCCGTGGGAGATTCGAGCATGGCGAGTCATTACGTCACATCTGTACACATAAAGAAGGAGTCTCGGCTAGTAGGCTATATGCGAGTGAGGATGTTGGAGTTGGAGATTTATAGCCTTTTCTCACAGCACTTGATATAATTAAACTTATCAATTTGATGGCGAATCCAGAAAGGTTCAAACGACAATCACTAGTGACAACAGATTCACCCGCTGTAAAATGCAAAAGACTTTTTTCGGACTTCGGAGTGGTTACAGAAAAAAAGAGACTGCAACTGGACTCATGCGGGATATATTGGGAGGACATTACATGTTGTCACGCAATGCTGATGTTAACATTTACAATTTGAGAACAAATGA